AATCGCAAAAGAATATATATATATATATAAATATATATATATATATATATGTATATATATGTATATATATACATATACATATATACTTACAAATAGGTAATTAAGATAATACCAATACTAACGCCAAACTCCCTGATCGTCCATTGGTTGTGTGCTTACAGTATGTGTGATGAGGTCGGCTTACCTTTTCTGTATATGAGTTATTTTTCTCAGACCTGTATTATAACTAAATTGAAAGAAATAAGCGAATAACAATAATGATGATAATAATTAAGTTAAATACTCTTACTGTTTTCACGTGGCACTGCGAGCACATTACATCAGGCGGCAGAGAAGCAACGTTTTATAGTAAATTCAGTAAACTGTGGAAATATCACGTTGGAATATTTATGGCAACTAAACAAGATATAAGGAGAATTATAGTGATAATTATGCTGACAATCATTGATGATGTCCTGAAAGGGAAATGATAACTTCTTGACAGCGAAACAATGATTCTTCCCTGCCACCATTCTGCTTGAACTATTCCATACTAAGGAGAGGAATTAATTATGTTCATGAATATTTTATTGCTAATGCGCTGTTCAAAGAGAAAACACAGACTGACGTTCTAGTGTGTAGAGAACGCGAACTTTTTAGAGGAACGTATGGATGTTAAGTGAACTGTTTAGTATCCATACTTACGAGTATTTGAATTGGTTAATTACATTGATAGATAGATGTCAACAAAGCTCAGAATTAATAACTGCTCATCACAATCGGAAAGCAACAAGCAAGACAGTGCGTCCCTGTTAATATTTAGTCGATGAGGTGTTGAAACTTAACTGTAGCTAGCACTCAGTTACACAGATAAGAAAAAAACATGTGGAATGGGTATTTTGGGTGGAATGGATTTGTGGCTGGGTGAGAGTGGAGTTTCAAAGGCCAAACAAATTCTTTGTTTTCAGTAGATTGTGTATGCTTGTTATAGTTCGAACAGTTCACTTTTGTGGTTGTGCTAACAGCATTAGCAGTAAATCCTCGAAATCTGTCTATCTGTCTATCTATTGTGTGCGTGTGTATCACTGACGTCGGAATGAGAATAAGTCTATTGTGGCAACAACTTTTGAAATTTTGAAAAAATGGCAACGTCTTTGTGATCTGCATGTCTGTCATTTTTCTTGAAGTACATACGTCTCAAAGGTAGCAATAACGCAGTAGTAAGAATAAAAATAAACCAGCTTTCGAAAATCTGCTTTCAGTGCTTGCGTCCGAGGAAAACCGCAAACATCCGGTGTTTCTTGACCCTCAGTCGGGCCTTGCGGGAGTGAGAGGAAAACCGTATAGCCTCTTCGTCTTCATTATCATTATTATCATATTTATACAAGATTAGAAACTGTATGATTTTTGTACTGGCGTGTAATTTTTTGTATCGATTCACACGTGTATTGACGTGATTCTTAAGCGGAAACCCGAAAGTAAACATTGAGTAATCGCTCTCCCACGAATAGCAATAAAGATGAATGAAAACGAAAATACTATTAATAGTTTCGTCTATCGCTCTCCGCCAAATGATGTGAACAGAATGAAGTCTTATTTTAAACAGATAGGCAAGTTAATTCACTGTTTCCATGCGATTTAGCAGAACTGCCATTGATTATATCTTTCTATCGGTCTATACTTGAAGATCGCATTATTCCAACTATTTTAGGGAATCGAATGTAAAATACCTATGTATATATAATAAACACTATAAACACTAAAACATACAAAATGTTATGTTAAACTCACTTATTGCGGTATACAGATATAAGTAAAGGAATATAGTTCTGGCATTTTCTGATGTGGCTGTCAAGACCCCAACTTTTGCCTGAAAGTTTCATTTTCTCAGTACAGGAATATGAAAATTTCCAAGTGGATATTCATAAAACCCATAAAAGATACAATCAAAGACAAAATTACTTTTGATGGTCGAGTGGAAGCAACAGTTCCATACTTTGAACTCACCACTCATATTCATAAATTACTCGTGAGGTTTGAGGTGTGTGTGTGTGTGTGTGTGTGTGTGTGTGTGTGTGTGTGTGTGTGTGTGTGTGTGTGTGTGTGTGTGTGTGTGTGTGTGTGTGTGTGTGTGTGTGGTGTGTGTGTGTGCGCGCGCGCGCACGCATTGACCAGAGAGAGAAATGAAAAAATCTGGCCTCTGGCAAATAACTAGATAAAAAGTACAACAGAATGACTCCGTTAAGATCAGTCCACAAAAAAACTTCCTAAAGAAAACGGATACGCTGAGAAGATGCGTCGCAGAGCGGTTCTGGAACCTTCACAACGCAACAGATTCACAATTATACATACTTTGTTCTCTTTTGCCACTGTAGTTGCTAGTATTACCGTCTTCCTAGTTGCTGATACTTGTCTTTGGTATTGATAATACGTTTACCATTATCATTGGCACCACCTCCACTAAATGATTATCCTCATTATAATAATGATAATAACAATAACAAAAAAATGATAATAACAATAATGATAATCACTACCACACCACCACACCATTATGATTATCATGGTAACTATAAACAAATACGACCTATAATGCCAACCACGACAACGTTTCTTCATAGAAAGATACCAAACATTTGAGGTGTTTAATACTACAAACAATTGTGTGGAATGAGTTTCGAAAAAAACACTGCAAGCTGATGTTGTGATCAGCTGACTACAAGCAGATATCAAGGTCACCAATGCCCCTTTCTTTTAAGATGTCGGTAAGAATATTCTCTGTAAAAAATGTCATTTCAGTTCAGCGAACGACAGATATGCAGAATAATAAGTAAGATGTTTCTTAAGGAGAGAGAGAGAGAGAGAGAGAGAGAGAGAGAGAGAGAGAGAGAGAGAGAGAGAGAGAGAGAGAGAGAGAGAGAGAGAGAGAGAGAGAGAGAGAGAGAGAGAGAGAGAGAGAGAGAAGGACACAAGATATTGTAGGTCAAGGCAGGAGGAGAGCGCTTGTGTTGTAAGATCTCTGGGAACTTTCCTAATGTCTCCATCGGGAACCTGAACATAAGAATATAGTGGCTAGGGAACATCTCGAAGAAATACTGGCGTTATAATATGTATAACACTAAAGAGGAGTCTTTGTGCATTGTGACTGGGGTAGAATATGAGATGGTGTTGTGGTAACTGATATATGATGTAGATACATACATACATTCATATATATATATATATATATATATATATATATATGTGTGTGTGTGTGTGTGTGTGTGTGTGTGTGTGTGTGTGTGTGTGTGTGTGTGTGTGTGTGTGTGTGTGTGTGTGTGTGTGTGTGTGTGTGTGTGTGTGTGTGTGTGTGTGTGTGTGTGTGTGTGTATGTATGTATGTATGTATTCTTCATTGAGCGAACTTCGGTGGTGAAATTAATAGAGTTGGTGCACTTAGACAAGAGACAGCGAGCGATATGGCGCTAAATAAAGTTGGCGCGGGACATATTTACACATCCCTGGCAGTGCAGAATGTAATAGTCAGAGTAGTATTTGTAATTACAACAGCCACTCAAATTTTACATTTTCATTTGACTCAGAATGCAATACATAAATACACACATACACATATACAAACATATATATGCATATATATGTATATATATATATATATATATATATATATATATATATATAGTAAATTTACACACACACATATGTACATATGTATATATATATATATATATATATATATATAAATATATATATATATATATATAATATATATATATATATATATATATATATATATTATATATATATATATATATATATTATATATATATATTATATATATATATATAATATATATATATATATATATATTGTATATATACATATATATTGTATATTTATATATATATATATTGATATATATTGATATATATATTGATATCTGTATATACGATTTTGTGTTTGTAAACACACACAAACACACACACGTGCCTGCGTGTGTACATACATATTTACAAACATAAAATCGTATAGATAGATACTTAGCTAGATAAGCTGACAGGTGGACAAATAGATATACAGATATACAGATATCGATATATATATAGATTCATACATTTTCAATATACATGTAATAGTGGACAGTCAGATACATGGACAGACAGAAATGTAGACAGATAATAAAATTTATATATATATATATATATAATATATATATATATATATATATATATATATATGACATAAATTTAGGTAGAAATACGTAAATATACATACATGTGTACGTGTACTCAATGTCCAATGCGTTTGTACCTGTGTATGCAGAGATGCGTGGGTGCGACCTTGTAAAACATTCGACAATATATATTTACATGATGCCGTCTGAATTCCAATGCATTTCTTCCCAGTCTTTGTCTTGGTCTCATAGAAACAAAGGAACAAAGCATCCTCATCTTGTAAGGATAAGATGGGATGAGAATTAGACTTTAAGGAAATACATATAGCATTCCTACACGACCCCAAATGTAGGATATTCATGAGGCGGAAGCACTCGGCCTTGGATCCAGCACAGGACACTTGCGCTTCCTGCATCCTATCAAATTTATCGATCACGAACCACAAATAAAAGTTTTCTGCTTGCATTACACACAATGTTGCAATTATTTGTTTCATAATTTATATTGTTTATTTCTGTTGGTTCTGGGTGAGGGGAAGGTTATTATAATGGGTGGAAAGACAAAAAGAAGGGCGTAATAGAGATTTTGGCAAAGAGATATGTACTCCATTACTAAAAACGGAGATTCCTCATCAAGATTCAATTTCTGTGTGTGGATCTTCTTCTACATATATCCCACACATTAAACTTCGCCTAATATACGTTCTTATTCATGCAATATGCAATATAACTGTAAATGGGTGAATGCAGCTGCCAAATGACCCAGCCCAACCTCGTACGTCTGGCATAGCGGTTGGAGCAGCGTCAGTCAGCTTTCGTACAGTAAGGACATTTCTTGCATTTTTTACCCAGATTCCCATAGCACAGATCCATTCCTATCCTAAACAGCATACTATCATGTGCATTAACATACGGCGGAGCGGCTGGGCAGAGGAGGAGGTCCTCGAGATGCCAAAATAAATGGTATATTCGTCTTTTGGCACTTCGCGTGACGTCATCAGCGTGCTCGGAGGCAACATGGCGGGTGAGAGACGTTCCTCCTTCCGCGGGGGTGCAAGTGAGTGGGTTTTTTAGGGCATCCCAGCCGCCTTCCCCCGCTCCGATTCCTGCTAAACCCTCGTTGTCTCTTGCAGATACATTTGCCAAGTACCATTGCAACTACTGCGAGGAGGATGTGAACGGACTGAGGGTGCGGTGCTTGGAGTGCGACGACTTCGATCTTTGTTTACAGGTAGGGTCACGTGACGCGGCGGGCGAGGCGGCCTTTTTGAATCGCATTTTGGGACACCGCTCGCTCAAGGGGACATTAGGGGGACTTGGGTACACTGAGCAAGGTTTGTGGCTATTTTGGACCATGGGAATTTTAGGGGAGGGCTTGAGTACTCTTGAAACCTGTTTGTGAAGGAGCGGGGGAGGGTTTTGAGGAGTGGCGTTTGGGTGAGTGGGTCTTGACATAGTGTAGTTTGATGTGTGAATGATCCATGGGCGGGGCATTTTAAGCGGGTTTGGGGCATAGGGTAAACTTAGGTTTACAGATTGGGGTCTATTAAGACATCATTCATTACTTTAGAATCGGTTTATTAAGGCTTTTTCAATAGATATAACACAAGGTCTGGATTTTTGATTGGCATAACTTAGAGCCAGGGCTTTTGACTCTGTATTTAGAGGCATGAATCAGGATTAGGTATATAGGGCTTATTGGGGCTTTATAAGATTTTAAGATAGCCTTCAGACATATGACTAAGGATTGGATTCAAATTAAATTAGAATAAGAATTTTAGGGCATTAGCTTGGGCACTGATGGGTTGAGTAGCACTGTGGATGTTATTTGCATGTTACAAAGACTAATGAATGTGATGTGAAATTGTATTTGATTTATGCCTTACTGTTAAGATATTATAGTGTTAATACTGGAAGCTAATAATAAGGATAATTTAGGTGGAATTTTAAATAGTGCATATTTTGGCATTCACAATGGTCTCGCCACCGGCTGGCACTCTGGAAAGGCTAACATACTGTTATCACATAAGTTTTTGCAAGAGAGGATTTTTAAACCTCTATGGTGATATATTGTAAAATATGGAAGCAGTTCAAGCTGTATTTTTTGTGTTGGACTGATTTATATTTGGAGGCAGCATCAATTGCGTAATTCATTTACATGGGATAATGTCATATCATATAGCAAAAAAAAAATCATATATGTCTAATCATGTCAATCATGTCAGAAGCCCACGTTGCAACAGCATGGATGATATTTGAGGTTTGGCTGTGAGGTGGACAATATCCCAGGCATAGAGCAGTATGCATTAATGCTCCCAGGCCTCATGAAATTTTTTGCAAAAAAAATTATCTGTTGTGAATGGGTTAAAGATATGCCATTAGTTTGTGATCTGTCAGCTCCCCAGGAACCTCAGCAAATTAAGTTTTGGTTTCGAGGTTAACCCTATGCTACTGGGTGGTATGTGTGTACTTTCCATGGCTGTTATGGACAAAGTAGTTCTCTGATAGTAGCAGCTGCATTTCATTTAGGCAATAGTACCTAAAGTAAAGGTAAACCTTAAAAATCTTTGTTTTAAAAAATCATCAAGATACAAGCTTTTAGATGCCAACAGTTACATGCAAACTACAGAACGAGCCAGGCACAAACGGAAAACTGTCGAGGTGCACCAACAACCCTGCGATCATATCCAGTAGCCAAATTTTTTTACCTGGTGTTATTGGGTTAAGTTAGAATATTCTGTAACAAATATAGGCATAATACTGATGTACTGATTTTCTCATGTGCATTTTTTATGGGATAAATCAAGCTGAGATACAGTAAATGATAAAAAGAAAAATTGAAAAACAACTGCAGATATCAAAATCTACTAAAAAAATAAAGTGGTAAAATCTACAGAAATATACATCCAACTCTGAACCTCCTGCCCTTTTTGAATAAGATGTTCT